GAGAGCCAGCCCGGGCCGGCGCTAGGGGCACCTGCGCCGCTCCCAGCCCGGGCTGTGAGGTGTCCCGCCGGGAGGGAGCGCCCCGGGGGAATGTCCCCTTCCCTCAGCTCCCGTAGTACCGAGGCCTGCTGACAGGGAGAGCGTCAAGGGCCGGGGGTGACACGTTTCGTCTTACAAAAGCCGCCTTTTGTTGCGGGGTGAGACGAGGGCAGGATCGAGGGAGTCCTGGCTCTGTGGGTGGCATGTGGGGTTCAGGAGTGCAGGCTCTGGTGAAAAACCTTCATTGTCTTTGTGTTTGTTTTTTGTTGATTTTGACTGGATTTAAAAGGGTATTTTTGAGCATATTTAGGCTGGAAATAAGGCTTTTCTGTTTGTATTGTTCACCTGACAAAGGACCCTTCTGTCTCAGTAAGTTGTGAAGCCTTTTGCAAACTTCAGCTGTTTTTGGGGAGCAAGCGATGTCTCTGCGTAACTCAGTAAGACAGAGTTTGGGGTGGACATGGGTGGCCACAGCTGGTGGAGTGGGCTGAGTGTGAACACAGAATCACCTTTTGTGTTTGGCCTGCCTGTTGTGTGCACACAGGTGTCCGCCAAATACTCAGCCTGTGTGTTTGTAAATGCACAGCATTGCTTCTTCTGTGAATGGATTGTCAAGGAGGGCTCTGAGCTGGCTGTGCTGTTGAGTTTTGGAGAATACAAGACTTGGGGGGGGAGTGAAGGAAAGTATTGGTTAAGGGTCACAGGCATGAGATCTTGCGAGTATATCCTGTGATTGTATCTTACGGAGGTACAAAACCAAGCCTCTTTATTTTTGTTGAGCTGGTCACAAAACAATCTGTTGTTCCTCGGGAAGGATCGTAGAAATCTTGTCAGCCTAATGTTAGAAACATCATTTGTAGGAGCAGTGTGGTTTGTTTTTTTTCAGTTGTGTTTTGATACAGATTTTAAAATGTGAGTCTGGTAGTGCATTTGTTGAAGGTTGTTGTCTGTAAAACCGGATACACCTTCTAAGATAGAGGTGCTGCTTGATGAACTTGGAAAGATGTGGGAAGAGAAGCAAATGTTTCCATTAATCAATGTCTGCAGTGAAGTTCATATGTGTAATTCATTAACGTAGTGTCTTCAGTTATTCTTTCTTTCCCCACTACTGGTTAGTTCAGGAGTTTAACTGTACTGTTTGGATGTGAGAGTTGTTGCTCTCCCTGATTCAACCACTGAAGAGCAGTTAAACAACCAAGCATTTCCTTCAGTAAGTATGGGAAATAACATCTTCAGGAATCATTCCTAACGTAAAGTTGGTATCAATGCGGACTCTAATTTGTAATTTGGAAATGTAGTGACTCTGTAAATAGTTGCTAAAAATGGTGACTAGTTTGTATTTTACTTTTCAAGGCCTCACAGAACTGAGTTGTATGAGGATGCTCCATCAGCATGTTGGCCTATCGTATATTCTCCAGACTACAATATCACGTTCATGGGACTTGAGAAACTGCATCCATTCGATGCAGGGAAATGGGGAAAAGTAATCAATTTCTTGAAAGGTAAAGTAACAGAAGGTACCTCTTAGACCAACATTTGCACAAAAGCTAATAGAAATTATGTAGTTAGCGCAGACTTATGGTAATAATTGCCAATATAATAGTGATTGTACATTGTCATTGAGTAGATTTAAGCTATACTTTTTAATCATATTTGCAGTACTTTACTATGTTGATATATTTGCAGACTTAAGTCTTAGCAAGTTAAATTGATTGTAGGCTTTCTGAGGCGAGGTGGATGTCATGTGTTAGGCATTGTTGAAGATCTTGCCTATGAAATATTTATAAAGATGGAACTGCAATGTTAGAGCAAACATTCTACACTAGAGCTTTTCAATACAAAGGTTGGTTTCACAGTCCTTTGAAAATATATGTTCTAGCCTGCTCCACTAAATAAACCCACAATTTTGGTTTGAGCTCAGTTACGGTATCTGTGCGGGGCAAAACTCATGAAATGTGATTGAAAACTCAAGCTCATTAAATGATTTGCTTTCCCCACAGGCATGAATAGTACTAGTCAGAGTAACTAGTTTGATTTGTTTCAGTCTGGCCCAGAGCATTACAAGACTGTGAGTAAAAAGGAGTAAGGAGAAACATGAGCATAGCACTCTTAGACCATCTTAAAATACTTCTGGTCTTTGCAGTTTGAATGGGCATGAAGTGAGCAGAATTTCATTGCTTGGCCTTTGCAGCAAACATTCACGTGAAGGAATTGTTTCCACCTCTGAAGTGAGCACCAGAATCTTGACTTTCAGCCTAGCCCGAGTTAGGTGCAGGATGCTGGAGCCTTGTGGATGTAGCTCAGTGTGCTGTGTTTTGATACTCAACAGATTTGTAATGATTCAAACACTTCCTTTCAGTTCTAGATTAATGCATAAGAAAAAGATTTCCTGTAAGTTTCCTCTTGAGGTTAGGTGCTGTTTGCAGTTCCAGTTTCTTCTTGCTTTTGAGGACCAAGCCTGGATCTGAAACAGAATGCAGACTTCAGTGTTGTAGCAATGAATGGAAAATCCTTCCTATGTTAGCTGCAAGCTTACAAACAGTTTGACTTGCAGTTCCATTGCTTTACACCTGGTGTAGCAAGAACTGGAGCATTCCTTGTGGCTTGTGAAATTACAGGTGTTAATGACCGGCTTGCAATGGGGTGTAACTTAGTTATTCCACTTGGACTGCAGACAGTCTGCTGGCAAATGGCGCTTTTCAGGCTGAAAGATAAATGCAGCTTGTATAAATCCGTTCTTTATCAGCCTCATGATATTATTCTGATAATGTTTGGGAAGAGCTTTGAGACACCTCTGGTGACAGGCAGAACTTCTTATGCTGGTGCTCATTATTGCTGTTTAAACAAATTGGAAGATATAGGCAGAAATACATTGAGGAAATACAAATGTAAGAACCAAGGTTAGGATCAGGGCCTATAAAATCTTGGCATCTCTTCCTCTAACATTTAAGCTTACTCATCAAGTTTACAAAAAAAAAAAGCTTTTTTTTTTTTGCCAAGATAAAGGTTGTCTGAGAGCCAGGCCTTTTCCATTTATGTGGTCCTAAGGACTCCTTCAGCTGATAATCTGTTGCAGTTTAGTATTGCCCTTCTGACTTCAAGCTGCCTTGTATTCATTTAACCAAGGCTAAACAAATTATGACCCTCCATTTAGTAGCTCAGTTTTGGATCTTCCCTCTAAGAACCTTAAATAATAAAGTCTTGAGTTGCATGACCGTTTTCTTAATTAATCAAAACCTTTGCCTTTCTGCTTCTTCTCTGTGTAAATTCTTTTCCTCTTGCTCTTTTCTGTGTGAAGTGTCCATTCTTTACTCTCAGTCTTTCGCAGAAAATTAGTCTTCCCAGTCGTTTTACTCTCCTTGCTTTGTAAAGCAGAAAGAAGCCACAGGATACCCCAAGGTGCTCCTGGTTTTCTCTGGCTCTGTAGCAGCTCCTGGCAACAGCAGACCTACACTGTTCCCTGTCGCCTTCTAGAAAATCACCAGTGAAAATCTTTCTACACTTACCTTCTGCTTCCTTAGGAATGAAGCTGTTAGCAGTTTGGCTTTCTGTCTGACAGCACTGAATGAATGAAACGTTTCTCAAGCCTCAGGAGAAACGTAAGCTTGCCAAACCAAATATTGTTGCAGGTGCTGTTCTTGTATAACGCTCAGAACAAAATCTCTCATGTTTGTGAGTTGTTTTCTTCCTCCTGCAAGTATAAAATTGGAGAAAAGGTACAGTGTTAGGAGGCTGCAGCCGTGCAGCAGTTAAATATCAAAATTTATCTGGGAAGACCCGCGTGGTGCATTATGTTTGTAGTGATCATATGCACAGCAACGTCGTTTTTCTGCACTGCTTGGCTTTTTTATTTGGCCCTAACTTGAACTTTCTGGCAAGTACATCCAGGTGTATGCATCTGAGCATATTATCATTGATCACATTCTGAAATCTTGGAGCAATTTTTTGTAACTTGCTCTTATAAAACTAGGATTTTAAGTAAACTATCTTTTGGTCTCTCAGGGGAAGAATTAATAGCTGGTCATTGGTATTTCTTGAAATTAAATGGAGGTAGGGGTGTGACAGAAATGTCCTAATTAAGTGTAAATGTTTGCTGCCATGAACATCTAAGCAATTATTTTGTTTAGAATTTTGGTAATTTTTTGTTCTGCTCTGATTTAGGGAATTAAATACTAGTATCAGATGTGGAATTCCTTAAAGCATGTTAGAGAGTGATGAATATTTGATGGTATGAGCACCAAGACTTCCCTAGTGTATCAAGCCCTAGACTGTACAGATTCTTTTGCATCTACCCATCCTGTGTCACTACCCGTCTTGTCTTTTAGTTTAAACAAGAAGCTACCATGATTACTCACTGAAAACTTTCTGTAAACAAGATTTATCATATGCGCACTACCTTAATAGCTTACCTGTATAGAGGGTATGTATTTGGAAAACTTGTAAACGCTGACTAAACGAAAGTTGTTTCAATGATTTACATTACAGATGAAGTTATTACCTCAAGGTCAAAGTAGCTTTTTTGGCAGGGTGGAATATGGGAAGTTAAGCAATGGTATACAATGCCAATTGTTATTTCTCTCCTGTTTCAGAAGAAAAACTAATTGCAGATGACCTGATTGTACAGGCACGGGAGGCTACTGATGAAGATCTCTTGGTTGTTCACACCAGGCGCTACCTTAATAAATTAAAGGTGCTGTACTTATTAATGTGTTTTTCAAGCAAACTGTCTAGAATTAGTGTCAAGGGCAACAGATATCTACTAGATTTGTTACAGAATCAACTTTTACAGATTATGGAATGCTAATGTTTTTAATTCAACATAGTCATTGAGAATACTGAAAGGAAAACACAGAAATAGTAGGCAATTCACACTATAGAGGGGGGATTGGAAAGAGGGTCTACCATGTTATATAGGTGACTGAAATGATATTTCAGCAAAGTTAAAAGAATATAAGGAAAATGTTAATATTTGAGATGCAAATGATACTCTCTTTAGTACCAGGGGTTTAATCTTCAAAAGCGTAAGTTTTTGATTTGGTCTAGTAAAATGTAGTGCTCTCCAATGTATTTTCAATTTCAGAACTAAAGTGGAGTACTTTACTGGATGTTTTTTACTGCAAGGATTGCTTTATGAGCGCAGGTGACATTGCTTTTATTTTGCAACTCTTTACTTGGAGGCCAGAGAAGGGATTTGTATTAGAAATGATCTTCCATTTCGTAATTCAGAAGTTATTTTGAGTCATCTTTGCTCTTCCACGGTGAAGGAGTCTTTGTATTGCTATTTCTGGAATGTTTTATTTTTCAGTGTATTGGATCTATTATTTGTGTGATCTTTTCTCATTCTTACTCCTTTTGAGTTCTCCTACGCTTCTTCATTCTGTGCTATAAAGTTACATGCAATTTCATACATCATTAGATTTGATCTTATTGCAGCTATTCTTGATATTGAGCTTTTAATTCCATAGAACCACCTACCTCTTTTTACTGAATCACTTCTTTGAAGCAGAGTGTAATGTGCATAGCTCAGTTTGGAATACCATAATAATATCTTTAGTACCTGCAGGATGGCTTCACAGGGAATTGTCTGTAAAACTTGCGTCTTGGTGTTCAAAACCAGTACTGTCATGTGCATTCAGATGTGATTAACTGTGTACTTCTCGTTCTCCTTTTCTTGAGAGAATATGTCCTGCAACTGTAGAAACTGGAAGGTGTTGTCTTGGTCATGCCAGCAAATTCCTGCCAAGCAGCGAAGATAAAAGTGCTTAGTTGCAAATGAAAAATAACAGAGGTAGACACGAAAAGGCCCTGGGTATCCTCTGTATTGCCTTATCGAAAGTCTGCTGTGCCCAGACAAATACAGATCTACCAATAAATGGCATCGTTTTATGTTAGATCATTTCTGATGACTGCAGAGGTGTTTGCGTTTCTGGGAATGCGTAGGTCTTTTAAAATAATGGATCCTTTGGGTATACTTCATTTAAAATTTGGGCATGAATTTGGTAGGAAATTCCATACGTTTGCAAGAAGAGGTGGTGGTTGGTATCTGTATTGGGTTTGCGTGGCAAGGTTTTGGTAGCGGGGGGGTGTGTGCTACAGGGGTGGCTTCTGTGAGAAGCTGCTAGAAGCTTCCCCTGTGTCTGACAGAGCCAATGCCAGCGGGGTCCACGACCGAACCACCA